TTCTATATGTCTTCTTTTCTTTCTTCCCATTTACTGCATACTTTACTCCAATTTCTCCTTTTTCTTTTAGGATATTCTAATATCTAGCCTTTTAATTTTATTTCATCTTCTGCCTTATCTTCTCAAATTTTCTATTCTTTTTCTCTCCTCTCATAGCCTCTCTTTCCTCTACCCATTTCTCTTTGATCAATTCATCTGTGTGTGTGTGTATAAAAGTTCTGGGAATAGACCAATAAAATAAATATATATGTTAATTTTATTTATCTCTTCTCCACATTATTCTTCCCAGTTCTATCCACTTCCTTTTTCTCCATCATTCTTTCCTCTACTCTCTCAGCTCCTCCTCTTTAATTCAACTTCTTTTTTTTGTTTGTTTTTGTTTTTGTTTTTGTTTTTTGCGATACGCGGGCCTCTCACTGTTGTGGCCTCTCCCGTTGCAGAGCATAGGCTCCAGACGTGCAGGCTCAGTGGCCATGGCTCATGGGCCCAGCCGCTCGTGGCACGTGGGATCTTCCTGGACCGGGGCATGAACCCGTGTCCCCTGCATTGGCCGGCAGACTCTCAACCACTGCACCACCAGGGAAGCCCTAATTCAACTTCTAACAATTGACTTGCTATCCATTTTTCCTTGGCCATCTTCTTGTGTCCCAAATTCTTTCAGAAGCACATCAATAAATAGTAAATTTAAAGTAATGAAGGACTAGAATACAGGCAAGCACACTTCATGTATTCATCACATATTTACCAGGTATGCATTATTTGAGTTTCATTGTGTATAATAACAAATGCACAGAACCTGCACCAAAAAATCACTCATTAATGTGGGAGGCAGCTTCAGGAAGTGACAACTGACAGCAAGAACCAAGAAAGTTTTTAGTGTTGGGGCAAAGAATCTTACTGAACTGGAAATGTGTTCAAAATTATTCTTTTAAAAGCAAAATTTACATACCTAAAAACTCTAATGATAATGAGTCATGAAAAACATAAAACTGCGATGGTTTTATGCTTTGGGAGCAGAAAAGTATGAAATACATTATATATATATAATATATATTCATATATATATTAAAAGTTATATTCTTAAGTTGTGTGGAAATTCACTTATATGAAACTCCTCAGCATTTCCACACAATGTGGCATAAAATATATGTTGCTATAATTTTGTATTTATATATGTAACATTGTACGTTTCAGAAAATAGCTAACATTATCTCACTTGATGCTCACAATTCTGCATCATATGGATAGTTTGTTGCTGCAGTTAAACCTAGGCTATTCTGACTGTCACAGTGTTCATGCCTGTGTATATGGCTGTAAGTCTGTGTATTTAAATGCCCTTGACTATGTATATACCTGTGTATTGGTCTACACATGTCTCTGAGTATGCATAAACATTTATACATTGTGAATGTATATCTCTGTGTGTCTGAAAATGTTCATATGGCCAACTCTATTTTTTATTGAAATATAGTTGATTTGCAATATTGTGTTAGTTTCAGGTATATAGCAAAGTGATTCCGTTTATATATATATAACCTATATACATATAAATATTTCAGATTATTTTCTATTATAGGTTAGTATAAGATATTGAATATAGTTTCTTGTGCTATAACAGTATGTCCTTGTTGTTTATCTATTTTATATATAGTAGTGTGTATATGTTAACCCCACACTTCTAATTTATCCCTCCCCCCTCCCTTTCCCTTTCCCCTTTTGGTAAACATAAGTTTGTTTTCTAAGTCTGTGAGTCTATTTCTGTTTTGTATAGAGATTCACTTGTATTAGCTTTTAGATTCCATGTATAGGTGATAGCATATATTTGTCTTTCTCTGCCTGACTTATTTCACTTAGTATGATATTTTCTAGGTCCATCCATGCTGCTGCAAATGGCAATATTTCATTCTTTTTTATGGCTGAGTAATATTCCATTGTGTGTGTGGTAATATTCCATTGTGTGTGTGTGTGTGTGTGTGTGTGTGTGTGTGTGTGTGTGTGTATCACATCTTCTTAAAGCAATCATCTATTGATGGGTACTTGTATTGTTTCCATGTCTTGGCTATTATAAATAGTGCTGCTATGAACATTGGGGTGCACATTATCTTTTCAAATTAGAGTTTTTGTTTTTTCTGGGTATATGCCCAGGAGTGGGATTGATGCATTATATGTTAGCTCTATTTTCAGTTTTTTATGGAACCTCCATACTGTTCTCATAGTGGCTGTACCAATTTACATTCCCACCAACAGTGTAGGAGGGTTCCCTTTTCTCCACACCCTCTCCAGAACTTATTATTTGTAGACTTTTTAATGATAGCCATTCTTATCGGTGTGAGGTAATACCTCATGTGGTTTTGATTTGCATTTCTCTAATAATTAGTGATGATGAGCAGCTTTTCATGTGCCTGTTGGCCAACTCTTTATACTTGTGTCTATAATATATATGTCTGCAAGTGTGCATACCTGCAAATGTGTTAGGAAGTATATGCCTATATGTGCATTTCTAATCTGTGACCTTGATAGAATTTTCAATGGATAGCTTAAAACATGCTGATTTCAATCCCGGTCCTACCCCAGTATACTTTAGATGAACTGCACCACTCTCTGACCTCATGGTGTAGAGGAGGGTTCCATTGTCCACCAGTCTGAGCAGCTTGTTAGGTGTGGTCATGTTATGGGCCACTGATTTCTTGCCATTGTGGAAGAAGGTGTCAGGGGTCCAGATCTTACTAGCCAGAAGATTATTCAGTGGAAGGATCTTCATGGGTCCATCAAATTTCAGTCTTTCATCATGCCATGTTTGTCGAAAAAATACATCAATGGTGTACTCCTAAGGACAAAAAGAGAGAGAACAATGTTTCAGTTGAGTTCTGGTAGTGACCCACAGTGCCCTTAGCAAATATTAATTACTTTGCAGTATTTCCTCTGATGCAGAGAAGCAGCAGTCTATTAACAGTAGTTACTAGTAAGTAGGGCAAGTGATTATGATTGAGAAAAAATGTCATGGTGATCAGTAAGTACATAGATAATATGTTTGACAAGATTTTGCTTAGGAAGATCACTGCCAACACTGCCCTGCACATCATACAAGCTGAACACAAGACTTTGCCTTATGAAAAGGAAAGAGCTCCCTTCTCTATGCAGTGGCATCTCTAATAAGAGCAAACTCCTTACCTTATCTCTTCTACTAAATGATCCCATATGAACATCAAAGGCCAATATAACAATTACCATAAAACTAAAATCTTAAATTTTAAAACACATTCATTTGATTCTCTAACAATATGTCTAATGAGTTAATATCTTATTATCTTCAATAAATAAGGAACTCTTACAGATAAGATAAAAACAAACACACAAATAGAAAAATGGGTAAATGACATGAAGAGAAAATTCATGAAATGGATAAAAATTGCTAATAAACATGAAGAACATTTTCAAAATTGCTGTTCATCTAAACATAAATTAAAGTTACAATAAATGTTCCAGGTTTGGGTAACAGCAGACTAAATTATTTGGATATACCTTCCTATAGCTATTAATTATAAAGTTTGAACTAAAAATTATGGACATATAGCTAGATAGATATACAGACTATTTGAAACCAATGGGGAATGATTGAAAGCAGACAAAAACTTGAAGAAAGTTTAGTCTTGAAAGATGGCAGCACATGTGCTCAAGGCACCGCATACCCTGATGAAGGGCTGAAGCCTGTAGGAAGGGAGCCTTTCCCTAATTGGTCCACAGAGGAGCCACATTTATGTAATTTGTCTAGAGGGGATACATTTCCTTATCTGCAAAAAGGCACTATATATGCTAACAGCTTGGGAACTAGATAATAAATAGGTAGGATAATGATTTATAGTACAAAATCCTGAGAATGCTGAGACTAGAGGAACTTTCACTTTTAGGCAATCTCTTGAATTCACTTTAGCTCTTAAACAGTCTCAGCCCCACCCATCTGAAACCTTGGGGTATTAGAGCTTTTGGAAAAAGCCAACCAGAGATTTGATGACAGCCCTAGGTTTCCTTCAGGAGAGGGTAGGAGTATAGAGAAGAGGGGGAAGAACTGACATGTTTCATGTCTAAACTTTAGCACGTTTGAGGGCAGGGACTGTCTTATTCACTACTGTATTCTTAGTACCATTCCCTCAGAAAATCTGTGTGTGGAAGGGATGTATTCAAATCCATTTTATTCTTTCATCTTGCTGTGTTTTCAATAAAAGAGAGATGGTTTTAAAAAAAAGAAAAAAGATGGCAGCAGCAACAGGTTAAAATTGTGTTTGTGGCTTTTCTTTTCTAAAGGTCCTCTCCCAAACCTAGAATTTCTGTGGCAGATACCACAGCCTTAATTGCTCAAAGTGGCCAATAATATGGAAATTTGGGAGTGGGAGTCCTGGAAGCAAGAGAGTCACAGAGGGGATAGGACCCAAAATCTGAGTATATACTTTGCCCTAAAACCTGGCTGACCACTACATACATAGTGAAAACTCTGAGGCTATGGAGAAAAATGCAGGCAGAAACAATAGGGGAGTCTTCCACTAAATGATAGATGACAAAACTGTGGTGGGTGATGTTTGTGAGTTAGGCACAAATCAGAAAAATTATTGGCTTAATACCTCAGAAGACAGAGCTCAAAGCTGGCCAAAGAGCTGAAAATGCAGGGGGAAGCCTTGGAGAAAAACAAAACCACTGAGAGGGAAGTCCCAAAATCTGAGTAGAAACTCTGCTTTGACTGACGACTAAACTACACAAGGTATGGGGGACACATCTAGGTAGTCAGGTAAAACAAAGAAGCAGCCAGAAGCTACTTAAAATCCTTTGGCTTAAAATTCCTTAATGGTTTCCAGTTATACCTGGAATAAATTCTAATACCTTTCTCTTACTTAGAAAGTACTTCATAAACTGACCCTTGTCTTCTTCTCTAAGCTCTTCTCCAACCACCTGGCTTTTCTTCTCCTCCAGCACACCAAGAATACCCCTGCCTAAGGATTAGGAGATTATATAATTTATTGTCTAAACTGGAACACTTTTGAGAGAGGAGGCTTTATCAATAGTTATATATCAGGACAACATGTGTAAGCCAGGACTATGCCAGGTTTAAAGCTGGAATTAGACTCCCACGTAAAAGCAAGACCCTGAAGGGCTTCAACCTCAGGAGAAGGGTGAATTACATAAAAGAAACTAGATAAAACCAGTCCACAACATGACAATTCAGAAAGGAAACTTGTTTATCCAAGCATGAATTCTGAAATGGACAGGAGTTTAGGGGAAGCATTTCTACTGAGATTTAGCAACTTCAATCCTAATCTTATATGAGATCAATATTTAAACGTACACTTGGTTTGGGGCTTAAAAGCTAAGAAATTAACATAAAAATAGGTCTCAGGATGGGGATACCTCTATATTGACTTACAAAAGCAAACACTCTAAAGAGACATGGCCATAAATAAATGCTTGCTGAAAAGAAGTTCACAATCCACAACAATGAAACACCTAAGGAAATGGTAATAAGCAAGAGTCAGCTGATACAACATGTAGCTGAATTATACCCCTTCCAAGAACCTCACATAACAGTATAATCAAATAGATATTATAAAGGAACTATAATTAAAATGATAAAAGTATCAAAGGAGATTGAGAACATGAGAATAGATCCAAACATTATGGGGTAAAAGCAAGGAAAAACAGATTTTAAAAAGGTCTATTTGAATTAGATATTCTGTGAAAGAAAAATAGTCACTGAAAATAAAAACTCAATGGATATGTTACACAGAAGATTAGATATTATTAAAGAGAGATTAGTGAACTGGAAAATACATGTGAAGAAAACTTGTTTTGTGTATATTTCTAACAAAGTTCTAAAGTGGGAGAATAGAGAAAATGGGGGGAAAATAATAAAGTACTAATGGATGACAGTTTCTCAGAATTGTTGAAAAATAAGCATCCTTAGCTTCAAGAACCTTAATCACTTGCAAGCTCAGTATAAAAAAATATATCCATGCTAATCATAGTGGATTTGAAATAATACCAAAGAGGAGATCTTAAAAACAACAAAATAGAAAAGACATATTATCTACAAAGAAACAGCAGTTTGATAGCAGACTTCTTGAAAAAAACAATAGAAGCCAAAAGAATTCTATAGCCAACTAGATTATCATTTGAGAGTGGTTTCAAAATAAAGATGAGTTTAGATAAATAAGATAATATTTTCCCATGGCTGGGTCACTCACAGTATTCAGGCCTCATTCAGAAGTCTCCATATCAGAAAAGCATTCTTTGACCATCCTATCATAAATAGTAATCCCTCTTCCCCTTACCACGCATTATTTTTCTTCATGCATTAATTTGTCAGATAGCTCTGACAAAATGTATTTTTATTTGCTTACTCTTCCTTTCATTCCACTAGCCTGGATGCTGCATGAGAGCAGAGATTTTCTTCAGTTCACTGCTATATTCCTAGCACCTAAAATCCTACCTGACCAATAGTAGCTGGTTTATAAATATTTTTGAATTAAAAAATGATTGAATGAATCCTCAGGAAAGGAACTACTAAAAGAAGTTTTTCATATAGTTGAAAATGAAACCAGCAGGAAGATTCAAGAAGGAATGGTGAGCTCAAGTGTTGCCAACCTTTGGGTAAACTAAACAAATAATGGCTCTCTACAAATGATATTAAGGACTATAAAAACAAAGTGGAATAAATAACTACAGTAAGACAAATGGAAGGAGGGAGTAGGGATACATGGATTAATATATTCTTGTACTATTTGGGAGGAGAGTGGAGATATTAAATTTAACGTCAAGTATATATATCAACATTTAAGGTAACCATTAAGAATATACTAGAAATAAAATGCAAAACTTACAAAAGAGTAGAGAAAAAACCAAGGGGAATATAGAAAATGCTTCAATCCCATAGAAGGCAAGAAAAAATAAAGCATATAAAAACATGGGGGAAAAGGATATATAAAATAAGATAGTAGAAAAAAACAATATAATCTAATGATAAATAAACAATGTAGCTGTATGTTATGTATATACAAGAGTCACACCTTAAGGGCACATGAAAACACAAGTTGAAAATGAAGTGATGGAAACATATGTATGGATAAATCCTAATCAAAATAAAGTCATAGAACTATAAAATACAGCAAAATAAAGTCATAGAACTATAAAATACAGATAGCAGGGACTATAAGACTAACACTTGTGTTCAGGATGAAATATTACACTAAAAAATGGAGTATATCAAGTGAAAAAAATTCTTAATTTTTATGTATGGATAACATGGACTCAAAATATGTAAGGTAAAAATTGAATTACAAGGAGAAAATGACAAACCCATAGATTCTCAGTAAATGAAAGACCAATCGAACCAATAATTTGTATGATAAAATAAGTGAAGAATCCTTTGGACAAGCATAAAGTAAGGAATACACATAGACTTAACACTTAGTAAACAAACAGTATTTTTTTAACCAAAAATAGATGATCATATGTTAAGCCATAAAGCAAATCTCAAGAAACACAAAAAGATTTCATATCCTAGAGACCATCTTGTTCCAATATGAGGCATTAAATTAGAAATTAATAATAAAGTTTTACATTTGAAAATTAGAAAACCTGCTAAATTTTTTTAAGAAAACAAAGAAGAAACCATAAAGGATATTAGAAAATACTTAGAAATGAATAACAGTGAAAATGTTTATAAATGAAATCTTGTATTCAACTCCTCAAGTGCTGCTTATTAGAAAATTGATAGCCATAAAGAAGCCTTAAAGATGGTCTTTAAAAAAGGGAAAACCATAAGCTAATCTACCTCATGAAACCAGGAACACAGAAAATCCCAAGAAAAGTAAAGAGAAAAATGATCTACACAAAAGGAAAAATCAGTGAAACAGAAAACAACAACAACAAAATAATACAGATGATGCACAGAATCCAAAACAGGTGGCTTTGACACACAAACAATATAGAAAACTGACAATAAGTTTAATCAAGAAAAAGCAAGAAAATGCGGGAACATTTGGGGCGAGGGGTAGAAATATAGATTAAATAAAATTGGGCAAAGCAAGTTGATAATTTTTGAAGCTGGGTGATGGATACATGAGGTTCCATTAAACCATTTTCTCTACTTTGGGGTGTGTGTGTGTGTGTGTGTGTGTGTGTGTGTGTGTGTGTGTATCATATATATAATCACTGCCAGCCTGTAGATAATAGATTGTAGGGAACTGAGAGTAGAGAGAAGGAAATCAGGGGCTTATTACAGTTTGATATGCCAGAGACAATGGTGGCCTGAGCCAGAATAGTAGCAGTTCAGGTGATAAGTGGTTTAATATGAGAACACCTATGAACATAGATACAAGAACCATGAATAATAGATTTTTTAAAAATTTTTGAATTTCATTTTATTTATTTTTTTATACAGAAGGTCCTTAATAGTCATCAATTTTATACACATCAGTGTATACATGTCAATCCCAATCACCCATTCATCACCCCCCCCCCCCCACCCCCCACAGCTTTCCCCCCTTGGTGTCCATACATTTGTTCTCTACATCTGTGTCTCAATTTCTGCCATGCAAACCGGTTCATCTGTACCATTTTTCAAGGCTCCACATATATGCATTAATATACAATATTTGTTTTTCTCTTTCTGACTTACTTCACACAGTATGACAGTCTCTAGATACATCAATGTCTCAACAAATGACCCAATTTCGTTCCTTTTTATGGCTGAGTAACATTCCATTGTATATATGTACCACATCTTCTTTATCCATTCGTCCGTTGATGGGCATTTAGGTTGCTTCCATGACCTGGCTATTGTTAATAGTGCTGCAATGAACATTGGGGTGCATGTGTCTTTTTGAATTATGGTTTTCTCTGGGTATATGCCTAGTAGTGGGATTGCTGGATCATATGGTAATTCTATTTTTAGTTTTTTAAGGACCCTCCATACTGTTCTCCATAGTGGCTGTATCAATTTACATTCCCACCAACAGTGCAAGAGGGTTCCCTTTCCTCCACACCCTTTCCAGCATTTGTTGTTTGTACATTTTCTGATGATGCCCATTCTAACTGGTGTGAAGTGATACCTCATTGTAGTTTTGATTTGCATTTCTCTAATAATTAGTGATGTTGAGCATCTTTTCATGTGCTTCTTGGCCATCTGTATGTCTTCTTTGGAGAAATGTCTATTTAGGTCTTCTGCCCATTTTTGGATTGGGCTGTTTGTTTCTTTAATATTGAGCTGCAGGAGCTGTTTATATATTTTGGAGATTAATCCTTTGTCAGTTGCTTCGTTTGAAAATATTTTCTCCCATTCTGAGGGTTGTCTTTTCGTCTTATTTATGGTTTCCTTTGCTGTGCAACAACTTTTAAGTTTCATTAGGTCCTATTTGTTTATTTTTGTTTTTATTTCCATTACTCTAGGAGGTGGATCAAAAAAGATCTTGCTGTGATTTATGTCAAAGAGTGTTCTTCCTATGTTTTCCTCTAGGAGTTTTAGAGTGTCGTCTGGTCTTACATTTAAGTCTCTAATCCATTTTGAGTTTATTTTTGTGTATGGTTCTAGGGATTGTTCTAATTTCATTCTTTTACATGTAGCTGTCCAGTTTTCCCAGCACCAGTTATTGAAGAGACTGTCTGTTCTCCATTGTATATCCCTGCCTCCTTTGTCATAGATTAGTTGACCATAGGTGCGTGGGTTTATCTCTGGGCTTTCTATCTTGTTCCATTGATCTATGTTTCTGTTTTTGTGCCAGTACCATACTGTCTTGATTACTGTAGCTTTGTAGTATAGTCTGAAGTCAGGGAGTCTGATTCCTCTAGCTCTGTTTTTTTCCCTCATGACTGCTTTAGCTATTTGGGGTCTTTTGTGTCTCCATACAAATTTTAAGATTTTTTGTTCTAGTTCCATAAAAAATGCCATTGGTAATATGATAGGGATTGCATTGAATCTGTAGATTGCTTTGGGTAGTATAGTCATTTTCATAATATTGATTCTTCTAATCCAAGAACATGGTATATCTCTCCATCTGTTGGTATCATCTTTCATCACTGTCTTACAGTTTTCTGCATACAGGTCTTTTGTCTCCCTAGGTAGGTTTATTCTTAGGTATTTTATTCTTTTTGTTGCAATGGTAAATGGGAGTGTTTCCTTAATTTCTCTTTCATATTTTTCATCATTAGTGTATAGGAATGCAGGAGATTTCTGTGCATTACTTTTGTATCCTGCAACTTTACCAAATTCATTGATTAAACACCAGAAATTTGTTTCCCAGCCAGAGTGATCATAACTATTCTTCCTTGTAACACAATGGAAATTCAGCTAAAAATACCCTGAAATTTATTTGACCAAAGGCTGCCCTATCAGGGAAGAGACATTCTGCTGCTTCTGCTTAATCATGAGGGAGAAGACAAACAAGCAACTGGAAGATGAAACTTCAGAAGAGATAAAATATCTGGATTGTTTTAAATGTCTCCAGAGCCTCTGCACACCCATGTGTGCCTGCTTGGGTGGGAAAAGAGAAGGGAGATGAGCTGGTTTGGGCAGGGGCTATGTTTATGTTTCTGTAGTATCCCTGAATTTGGGTATCTGTTTGCACATGTGTGTCTATGGAGTGCCTGGGATGGTGTGTAGGCTGTTTTGTTTTATTCTGTATATACTTTCTTATTTTGTCTGAATATATTTATGGGTGTTCATTCATAAGTGAGAGTGAATGAGTATGTGTGGGTGTGTGGGTGCGTGTGTGTCCAAAGAGTAGCTTCAGTTGCTTTCTTATGAAAATCTTAATCAATCTAATTCCCAGCAATACAAAGAGAGCTTCACCTCCCTGATGAGTTTGGTTATCCCCAATGGACTATGAGCTCTCTGAATATAGGATTCCCTCGAGCCCCTTAATGCAGAGTTGGGCCTCTAAGGAGTACTTGTTGAATGAGCAAATGTCAACAGTTTTAATGCATGCCTGGATCTGAAGCTGTGTGCATTAATGGCCAACAGGTTGAGAGGGGGCAATCTAGACATACAGGCTTTCCTGTTGCCACTAAGAGAGACTCACATCCTCCATCCGTCTTACATCAAACATGTCCCTCACTGAGCTCTCCCTATGTGTCAAGTACTCTATGAAGTGCCAGGGAAGCCATGGAATACTTGGTACTTGCCTTTAAGGAGTTCACAGGGAATTTACTATATCTCTGTATCCCTTTCTTTATTCCACACTTAAAAGACAAAGTTCAGGACTCTACCTTCCCCCTGCGTGGCATCACAACCACTCATGACTTCCTCTCCTGAGAATTAGCTTGTTTCTCCAACTGACTCCTACACCTTGCCTGATTGAAATAAGAGCCATGTAAAATCAACATACCTAAACCAACTCTCAGCCTCCAGTCTGCTCCCCCTTGTAGTTCATGCTGTACAGACTGCCAGATCAACCATTCTAAAACAACACATGTATATTTTTACTGCCCTAGTCTAACCCACTCAATGGCTCTGTATTACCTATAGGAAAAAACTCTATCATGACACTACACAACTGCTTGTAGTTACCCAACAGATCTAAATAAGCTTTGTCCCCTGCTAAGTAGTAGTCCCAATGAAGATAAAGAAAAAAATCTATGTAGTGAGCATGGATATTTCATATTTTTGAACATGGTTTTTCTGATTTTAAACACAAAGTCACTCATTCAACAAAGCTTTTTGGAGCATCTAATCACTGTCTGACATACTGAGCAGATAATAGCTTCTTTGTGTCCCTTCATGATAATTTTTCAAATGACGATATTTGGTATCTGAAGTAGATATTGATCAGATGCTCCATTAGGACAGGGTTTCCTGCCTCAACTCTCCACTGCATGCCTTGCTTTGGCAGAAAGGGAGAATGGTAGGAGAAGGGGAAGTCCTTGTAGATGTCTCATGAGTCATCCCCTTGCTAGTTCTGCTGTGCACTACCCTATTCCTTGAATCTGTTCTGATGCTCTCTTCATCCTCACATCTGTAGAAGGACCCGTTTCTAGTAGGTTTGACTCTTCCTCCAAACACTTTACATCACCATGGTCCATCCACTTCCCCGTTGAATAGGGCTTGTTTGCAAGGAATGGACTTCTACTTTTTTTTGGGGGGGGGACGGACTTCTTGACTTCTAGACTTCTTCTACCAGTTGCTAGACTGAGAGTCCCCACCATGTGCACTCCTCACATGACCTATTTGTGCTGATATGTGTGTGGTACTGAAATGTGAAGTGTGAGGTCAGACAAAGTTTAATTGAGGATAGAGAGAAAAGCTGAATTTTGAAAGATATGTTATAGAAGGGAAAGGTACTTCTGGTGGGGGATATATGCTTGATATGTGAATAGGTGGGAAGAGCAGGGCAAAAAATGGATTTAGCTAAATGTAGGATGATGAGGGTAGGGCATTCATGAGACAAGACTTCTCCTTAGAATATAGCTCCAAGGCCCTGCCATAGGAAAACCTCAATTTATTTTCTTTGATCTGTTGCATCATCTTTCACTTTTACCTTTGCAGAAACTATACTTACCATGTCAGTGTCTGACACAGGGCCAAAACTGGTCACATAGATGTCAGTCTTAACTTCAGTCACTGCATCTGGTTGAAAGAAAGTAGAAAAGCAGAGTGTTATGAAAGACTGTTGCCTTAGCTCAGAGAGAGTCCAGGGCAGTACTCCAAATGACAGCAAACTTGTTACTTCTAAGAAAGAATACTTGGTACAATCATAGGAAAACCCCTTTAAAAACTCTCACTTGTACTATTTCTTCACAGAGAATATGCTAGGCACAGGAACAAAGTCCATCCCTTTAGGTAACATTGAGAATGGCAGCAGAACCTCCAAACTCCAAAGCTTAGTGAGAGCCCTTCGAGATCTCTAACATTCACACCTGCTGGGCTCTCACACTGAGATTATCCCTACCTGTGGTAGGTTACAAATGTTCCAAGAGCCAACCCTTTTCCACTTTCAGGAACGTAGGATGATTGTACTCCTAAAGTACAGAAGGGATGTGTGACTGGTTTTGGTTGTAGGAGGAAGTAATATGTGTCCCTCCCTGGCTGCAACAATTAATGTCCAACGCAAGACCCTACCTGCCATGGTCACCATGGAAACATATGTTAATATGGAGCTACTATAAGATTGAAACAGCCTGGAATGATGACCCAACACTTGGAGGACAATGGCACTGGAGAGTTGCCTGGATCCACAATAGACTTTGCATCAATGAGAAGTAGTTTTGTTGGGTTAATTGACTGAGATTTGGAGATGATTGATATCACCTGATACACTCTCTTTGCATTTTTTTCTATTGCAACTGTGTATTTACTCATCTGCCTTGCCACATAACCCAAGAGCTCCTGAAGGGCAGTGTCCCTGTTTTGTTATCTCTGTATCCTCAGTACCTAGAAAAGGAGCCTGTTATTGAGATGGTGCTCACTGAACATTTTCGGTATTAACAGATGAATCTCATCACATATATATTTGCCAAGTTGGAAAATGATACTCAGAGAAGTAAAATTATTGCACTGCTAAGTTTCTCTTTTCCTCCTTCTGTCATCCCTGTTTACCCCATTGCAGCTCAGACTAGCTCACCCACTCAAGCATACCTCAGAGTACAGGGTAGCCTACCTCAGCTTAGCAAAGTCAATTACAGCCTACCAAACACCTCATCATTACATTAAATTCAAACAAGATCCACTCCAGCCCAGCATACCTGACCCCAGTAGAGCACACCAGTAATGCAGCTAATACCAACAAAGCCCACATAGGACTTGATATATGTATACTATAATGAGGCTTGTTACTGCAGTCTATGGCAGTATTTTTTTAATTTTTAAATTTTATATTTCCTTTTTAATTGAAGTATAGTTGATTTAAAACATTATATTAGTTTTAAGGGTACAATATTGTGATTTGACATTTTTATAGATTATGCTCCATTTAAAGTTATTGTAAAATATTGGTTATATTCCCTGTGCTATACATTACACTATTTCTTTTTTCCCATGGAGAGGTAATGGACACACATACTCCATTTATAGCATATTCACTATATTCATCCAGTCCAGATGTACTTTATGTCTTATTGACTTCACATTTTCCAGAGCCATCTCTTAGGCTCTTAATACACTATTCCCCTACACAGGCACAAAGTATACTTAAGGCCACTGTACTCATCCACAAACATTCCATTTTCAAAAGAGACTATGAGTATCATTTAATAATAATGGACACTGTAGTCAATTCACCAAAACACACAATCTACTTCCAAGCTTAATCAGCAAATAACATGTCTCTGAAGCTAAAGTTGTGTTTTAAATATTTGGGCTCTCATCTAGAGCACAGTCTTCCCTCAGAGATATTTCTGTGCTTCAAGGACAAGAGACAACACTTCAGAATGAAGAACATGCCCCCTAAACACTTGTCTCTTCAGATACACTACCAGATTCATTGGCTGGGGAAACATTGCCATACCCCAAAGTACATAAAACAAAATTAATTAATTAATGGGAGAGACAACAATTACATTTGAATCCAATATTCCAGGCAGGACATAGTTAGACACAGAACAACTTTCTAAATGAATTTAACTGTAAAACTGTAAGATAGCTATGCAGATTTAAAACAGGGGGCCCAGGGACTTCCCTGGCAGTCCAGTGGTTAAGATTCTGTTTTTCCACTGCAGGGGATGCGGGTTCGATCCCTGGTTGGATAACTAAGATCCCACATGCCACTTGGCACAGCCAAAACAAAAACAAAAATGAAACAGGGGACCCAGACTATAGGAGAAAAAGAAGAGAGATAGTGGTGATAAAGTCAGGAGACTGCTCTAGCTCTAAGAGGAGAATGGAGTCACTGCAGGTAGAAAAGGAAGAGTCTTTGACTGGGATGGGAAGGTTTGTGTTCTGGATCTCTGCCCGACTTGCTGAATGCCTTAAGACTTTTCTTCTTTTGGCTTTTCTCTTGTACAATGAGGGTTTGGTATCAAACAAATTTGAATTTTCTCTCTGCTCTAACTAGGAACTCTGAACGCAGGGCCAAGCAAAAAGCATCTGACTAAAGGTGCTCAATGGTAGCAAAAGGCAAGTTTTCTCTGCTGCCTGAGGAAGGTAGGAGGTTTGTATGATCAGGCCACCCAATGTGGCTGTTCTCTTGCTCTCTGTACAACCCCTGCTCCACCAGTCCCTGCTTCACCTACACCCACTCACATGACTGACCTTCCCTCAATCATAGGGCCTAATCAGTAAATGCCTATGTACTTGTCTCTGGCGCCAGCTAATGATCTAATCTTTAGATCAGAACTATCTCCACTGTGATGATTTATCAAAGAGGCAGTGAGGGGTGAACCCCTCTACTGGTTTCCCTTGCAACCAATAAGCACCAACCTAAAGTCAATACTCCTGTAACTGGTAACCTCCCTCCCCATCCCACCTGGGAGTGAAGACTGCCACCAAGTCCTGCCCACCTCTGCTGCACATGGTGGGGTGTCACTCCAGGACCTTGGTTCAGACAAGGAAGATTCCCCTTATCCATGAAACCATTGATGTCTCTGTCACTGACTCCAGGCTCTTTCTTTGGTCTGGAGGCTGGGAAAGTACAGGGCTTGCAGGTCTGGAGGGTGCAACCCAACAAGGTTTAATGCAAATAAGGTACTCCTCCTGTCTCTCAACTGTCCACTGTCATTTAAAAGACACCCATTGGGACTTGCCTGGGGATCCAGTGGTTAAGACCTCACCTTCCAATGCAGGGGGTGTGGGTTCATTCCCTGGTTGGGGAGCTAAGATCCCACATGCCTTGCAGCCACAAAACCCAAAACATAAAACAGAAGCAATATTGTAACAAATTCAATAAAGACTTTAAGAAAATGGTCCACATCAAAAAAAAAATTTTTAACATCTTTATTGGAGTATAACTGCTTTACAATGGTGTATTAGTTTCTGCTGTATAACAAAGTAAATCAGCTATACATAAACATATATCCCCATATCTCCTCTCTCTTGCATCTCCCTCCCACCCTCCCTATCCCACCCCTCTAGGTGGACACAAAGCACCAAGCTCATCTCCCTGTGCTATGTGGCTGCTTCCCACTAGCTATCTCTTTACATTTGGTAGTGTATATTGACATTCCCCCAGTGTTGCACACAGGGACCACAAAGCCCCAGTGACTAAATCCCATTTTTTGACTAGGAAATCCAGCTGCCTTGGAGCAGGGTATGTGACAACACACAGAAGTGCCCTGCAGAAGTAATGTACAGTGATTGAAAGCATGACTAACTGGGTTTGAATTTAGGTTCTGCCATTTATACTTTGTGCGCCTTTTGTCACTTAAATTCTCTATGCCTGTTTCTTCATCTGGAAAATTGGGATAATGATAGCACGTACCTCAGAATTATTCTGAGGATTTAAGGAGACAGTATTGAGACCAATAGTTAGAATAAATCCAGTGTTCAATATATGTTAGCTGCTGCTGCTGCTTAATACTATTCCAGAGGCAAGACCATATGAGACACCCATAAGGCCAAGTGGACAGAACTCACCCAGAAGTCTAAGGTCCTCAGTCCCAGACAAAGAAGAGAGTATCCACCCACCACTCTAGCTCCTCTGTATGAAGGAATGATTAGAAGTTTGCTATTTCATTTAATTAAATGAAAAGACCAGTGAATTAGACTAAAACTGGTGAGGGCTACAGTTCATAGTCTAGCCCTTGTTCACAGCCTTCTCATTTTTCAAATGTGAAAAATGATTTAATTTGGAAATGAGTTTTTTTTTTCTTTTTTCTTTTTTTAACAAATATTTTCCAATGCTCCTTGGTTCTTTTTTATTTACTTTGGAGATCCAATTTCCTTCCAATATTACCTTCTGAAACCAAAGGTGAATAGAATTATCTTTTCCTTTTGCAAATTTACTGTGGTATTGGAAGCTAAACACACATGCCCTTAGCCCTCAGTGGGACTCCCATTGGTGGGGAGCTTATCAACCAGTTCCTAATGTCATTCCAGCTTGCTTTTGATCTGAAAGAGTAAAGGTACGCCAATCAGCAAATGATCACTGTGTTTATATTGACTATGTTGCTCATACAAACTGTATTTTCTAGTTTGAATTAAAACAGATCCCCAAGAAGCCATGAATTTTCTCCTCTGAGCAGAAACCAGAGTAGTTTCCCCAACTCTAGCTTCTCCACTCCAGCACACACATAAACATTGGTCTTAGTACTGCCCTTTGGATCCACACAACAAAATCTGCTTCTTGTTCTTTTGAGAGTTAAAGACCTTCAGAGATTGAAGGAAAGTGATCATGGTACACCTAAGTCTTCTCTTCTTGTTCCTTTTCAGATTAAATATCCTGACTTCCTTTGTGTCTCCCCTCTTTCGACATGGTTTTAAGCAACCTCACTATCCCACATTCACTTTCCTCTGGATTGGGTCTGATTTTTTTTACTGGCACTCTGAAATATGTTTTGTAATGAAACTTTGTCACAGTTCTATTAGACAGGATCATAAGATGAATGATATGAACAAGAGCCAACCATACCCCTTTATCTCATTACAGGCTGTGACGGACTCTTCAATCCTTCCCAATAACAGTCTTCCTGACAATA